TGGATTTTATTTTTTTTAATATTTATTTTATGTCCAACACTTTGTAGTAGTCCTTCAAAAGCCTCTTCTAAAGTTTTCTAAGCAAAGTATATAATTCCAGGAAATAATTCAAAATCTTGAGACTCATTTAAAATATAATGCTTTAATTTTTCCACATCTCTCCTACTACATAAATATAAGCTAAGCATTTGGCCTCATATTGTATAATGAATATTATTTATCAATGGGATCATATACTATTGTTTGTGGATAACAAAGGTTTCAAATCTTTTGTAGGCTTAACTAAACTTAAATACCTTGTAGTTTACCAAAACTATACTTATATACCTCTACTTGTATCTTGGTACACTTTTTTTTTAATTTTAAATAACGTACCTTGATGTGCTTAAATATCCTAATGTTTTCTTAAATTTAATATTTATACCTTCTATCTTGTTACCTAAACATAATAATGCTCTTTGTAATTTTTCTATATGAGTTTCATGATATAGTTTTAGGATAATTCTATATTTTTTACTTTTTTAATAAATACTTTATTAACATGCAATTATCTATTAATATATTATTATACATTACTAATAATTAATATGATGTAGAGTTTTTATAATAATGTTGGAAGTTCTAGAGACCAAATTATGCAAACTTAAAGTGACATATAATATAATTAATTAACAATGATAATTAATTTAGTTTAGTTAGTATTAGAATATAATATTAAAAAAAGAATAGGAGTAATATAGTCATTAGAAAGTTTTTTCACAACTCCCTTTTTTAAAGGGAGTGTGATATATCAGATTAATAACTATATAAAGGCTATTGTCTTCGTGCGAGTCATAACAATATTTCTATAAGAAAAGCTAACTACTATAGCAACTTACATTGAAAAACAACATATATAAAGTAATATAGATAGGGCACTAATTTGCTATTATTAAAGTAATATAGGTATGTCTCTCAGAGCAAGAGTCAAAGTCGTTTAAAATGCCCTTTTCTATCTTAACCAAATATTGGATATCCACATAATTAGAGTCAAGATTAAAAAATAACATAAAGTAATATAGGTCGGCACTAATTTTTTATATAGTTCATAAACTACAAAATGTTAGTAGATTAAATTAAGAATGGAGGGAGAAATTGAGCACGTCACAAGTTTTCATGGCGGCCACATGTTTTACATATTTGCATGATTTATTTTCAGGCTGACAGTGATATAAAATACGAAAATAAAAATACTTTATGATTTAACTTGAACAAATTTCTTAGTCAAATCTAGAAAATTCGAAGCAGAGAAGTGTGGAAGTTAACCTTGCAAGAGAAGTGTGGAAGTTAACCTTGCAAGATAAAAGATTAGAGCTCTAGTTGATTAAAACGTGAGACCTATACATCCTTATAGAAAAAGAATCCAACCCACAAATCAAAATAACATTAATAACTAAACAAAAAGTCATAATTCAATATCTACTATTTGTACTATACCCACTATATGTTAATCATACAATATAATAAACAATCTAAAAAAGTATGCTTGTCCATGCATAAGTTTGGGGATTTTAGGATCACAAAATTTAAACAATCCAAAAAAAAGATCGATCAGATAATATAATTCACTATTTTAAATAATCTAATCTGATCAATAAGAAGAAAATAACAAATACACATATTTGTTGAAGGAGATGAAAGCGCAAAGAACCCTTTTGTAAAACCCCGTAATTTTAAAAAAATTATGGTAAATAATATTAAATGAGTTTTATTATGGTTGATATTGTTCTGGGATGAATGAACATGATTGTAATCGATTTGAGATCGATTAAGTACATATAAATATATATGTGTGTGTATAAATATGTATGTACATAAAATCTATAAGTCTGCATCTATGCACTGGTCGGTCGACCGACCCTAGCAATCGGTCGACCAATGGACACTGGTCGGTCGACTGACCCTAGCAATCGATCGACCGATGGATAGCTGACGGTTTTTGGGTTTGGTGTCGGGTCGAGTCTGTTTTTTACATGTATATATACATATATACCCGACTTTTTCCTCTTTTATTCTTCATATCTCACGTCCTGAGTAGCATCCACCCTCTCAAAACCCTAGATCATAAGTTTTGAGTCTTTGGAGAGCTTTGAGAAGCCAAAAGACCAAGAGAGGGTAAGATCGGAGGTTTTCTGTAAGAGATGATCGATTTCTTCGCGTATGTGGGAGCTTAGCACGAAAAATTTGAGGCGAGTTTCATCTCCTCCAATCTCATCCCCGTTTTCTTAGTTTTTATTGGATTTTAAAACCTATTTTATGTGTAAAGATCACCCCTTTTATCTGTATGATGTAAAGATTTAATCTTTCTGATTTAAAAAGTTATGAAATAGATTTCCTTGATTTGGGATTAAGATTTGAAATAGATCTAACATGAGATTTTGTTAAAGTTATTTGTTTTCATGATGATTTTTCAAACATAAACATGTTAGAGTTTTGTAGAATTCCCTAAATCTTTATATTTATGATTTCATGTAGCAAATTAAACCCTAATTACACTAAATCAAGGTTTCTACATGGGTTCTTTTGAGAATTTTTGATTTTTTTATGATAGAGAAAAGAACCCGAATTTTAATTTATCATCAGCATCGATCGATCGATCAAAGAAATCGGTTGACCGATTAGTCTGCAGGAAACTGGAGAATTTCCTCTGGTCGGTCGACCGACCTAGGTAATCGGTCGACCAATTGAAGCTGATTTGTGCGTGCATGTTTGTCACCGCCGGTTGACCGATGGGTTATGTTGGTCGACCGATTTGAGCTATTTTGTATATGTTGTTTTCTTTCCATGCATGTTTGATCGCAAATACGAAGTACGAGCCGTACGTCGACACACGTACGTGACTATGAGATGCACATGTTTATTTTGAGCATGCACGAGCTTTTGGAGGTGCGTAGTCTAATATTTTGAGCTTGTCATGATAGGGAATAACGTTTGTTTCATTTTACGATGATTTTGTATGCTTGAGTGGGGCTAGTTGGTGCACCACAACGAGATCATGGTTGAGTACACTCAGAGTGCGTTAGTTGATGTACTGTAAAGAGACCATAGTGTACTACACTCAGTTATACATCATTGTGTTCCGGATTAGACTGATATGCCTATATTCCGTAGGGTGTTCGAGTAAGGTAGTGAACCATAAAATATTGCAATGAGCCACAAGATATTGTGAGCTCCTATACTCCATACCATTTTCTTTGTAGGGAATCATACAAAATTATAATTTTGCTCCCGTGTTACCTACCTCTAGGGTAAACCATAAGGCTATGGTTTGTTATATACTACGTATCCTAGACGAGATCTTTTACCGAATATTTATTTTTGTTCCCGTGCCAACTACCTGAGGGAAATGTGAGATGTTATGATACAATTTATTATGGATGAGGCTTGGTAATGTATCGTTCTTTGTTAATTATTTTATTCATAGGATTTTAGAGTTGATATTTAGCGATCCATAATTTGAGATACATAGTATATATATGAGGGTTTTCTTGTTTGAATTATTTCGCTCGACGTACTCATTCTGGTGTTATTGTTTCTAAATATTAATTCCTCTTAGTTCAGGATGTAGGATTTATATATTTATATATGATATAACTTGTATTTTTATACACTTAACCCCCTTCCCCCTGGGGGGGGG